AACTAGACATGGAATGCCATTACCTTCCCACCGAGGTGGTACCTATTTACTCACATTTTTACATGCTTTTGAACCTCTAGGTTGACGGGAGCTGGGACAAGTGACGGGAGCTCACTGTGTCTTGTGGATTTGATCTTATGACTGCTTCTGACCTTACAGCACAGAGGCTTCTGCGGTTTAACGCACAGCACCACCACGTCCCTAATGAGAAGGCTGAGGATACTGGAAATAACTTAGGACTACCTTCACATTGGCTTGTCTTTGTATTGACATAATGGCAAAAATCCTGTTGCATACAGTAAATTACAGTACATTTACAGTAAATTACAGTTAGAATAGAACCATTTGAATCAATGAAATTATACAGGGGATGATTCAATAAATCCGCAATCAATGAAATTATACAGGGGATGATTCAATGTAATTTACAACAGGATTTTAGACACTGATTGTGAATCTAGTTTGAGAGATTCAATGGGTCTACTCTAGTGTAATTTACAACAGGATTTTAGACACTGTGAATGTGGTTTGAGAAAGATTTGCATGTAATGTAACTCATCCCCATACCTTTTTGACCCTCCTGATCTTGACACACAGCAGTTGTTCTCCCAGATGTGAGATCAGATAGCCCAAGGGGGTTCTGCTAACACATAGGCAGCTGTGCAAACACAAGAGGCTCCTGCCCATTCCAAACTGATTATGGCCAACATATATTTGAATTTAGATTTATCTGGCTGTGAGTTATGGGAAAGGAGGCTATTGCCTGTGGACAGGATCATCAATAAGCTACATGATAAAAACTCTTGTTTCTCCTCCCTTTCGAAGGTCTGCATTGTCCAGCCTCAAGGACGCTAAAGAAACATAAGAACAAAGAGATAAGACAAAGCAAAAACTCTTCTTTGGTTTTCCCCTTCTCCCTCATAAAGGGAAAGCCAAAGAAGGGCTTTTGCTGAATAAAAAATGGATGTTCAAAAATTAAACAACTTATAGTCTTCCTCCACCTCCTCTAAAGTTCAAAACAGAGAGAAAGGGAAAGGAGTAAAGTAATGGCTGAGGTTTTTCGCCCTTATTCTATCAGGGCATTTATTAACGTGACAAATTAAAATAGCTTGTTTTCTATGTAAATATAACTTTGTTTAGCTTATTAATGATAAATGTGTGGCCATTTTTTACTATTGTTCCAAATTTAGCTATAAAGACACTTATTATTCCTACATAGCTAGAAAGATTGAGAGACACAGAGACTAAAAAGATGTCTTTGAAACTAGAAGCAGAATATCTTAACTCCTGCATCCTTGTTATTTTCTACAGTGGCCACAAGTTCTCTTTTATGGAAGACAATTGTCCAGCTGAAAGTCTGCCAGAAAACAACTTACCCTTTGAAGGTGTTGTTCATTTAAAGGGCTGTCTAATCCAAGCTTGATTTAAAGGTAAAGAACCATATGGGAACCTTGACATTGTTCATTTATAGTTAGCAACACTAGGGGAGCTGAGTCAGAAGGTCTGGCCCTTGTCTTCCCCCACTTGATTAAAATGCATTGTAACTCCATTTAAATTATTAAAATCATTTCTAATAGTGCATCTATACATACAAATTAACTCACATAATACTATGCAAAATTGTGTCCTCTTTTTTGGTGATGCATGTTTTCCTTTGCTGGTGATGTCTAACTAGCCACTCTGTTGCTTTGTTATGTACCATCATGTAGGAACTGACTTACAGTGACCTAGATAGGGCTTTCAGGGTAAGTGGGATATTTAAGGAATGGTTTTACCAGTTCCAGCCATGAATTTCCACGGCCAAGCAGGGATTTTAACCCAGGTCTCTTGAGTCCTAGTACCTCACCCTATCTACTACACCATACTGAGAATCAGCCCTGTTGTATATCTTACTGCATGGTATGAGATGTTTCATGAGCTACATTGCCTGGGTCTGGTCTTCTTCTTGGAGTAGAAAAGGTTGGTATCCTATGTTCCAGCTTACCCCCTTAGGAGTAAAGTGGGCAGATTCCACCCACCCCCAATTGTCCAGCTAAATGCAGCTAAAACATCCACTCTCATCTGTGGGGCCTTTGTAGCCTTCATTTCTTTTCATTCACTGTGCCAAGTGGATGACAGTGAGAGTCTATGCCCAGTGACTTTTACCAGTAGAAGACTTCAACCTTATGAGAGACATTTGTCTGTCATCGAGAGGGCATACCTGTCTATTGTATGGACCTGGAAGAAACGTAAGCCATACAGATGGAGAAGAATGTTTACCCTCTGCACTGACCACTCACCTTTGAAATGGTTGAGAACTTTGCAAATGAACAGTAGCAAACTGAACAGATGGTCCTTGATTCTCCAAGATTATGACTTTGAAATTAAAAATATAAAAGGATCTTTAAATGTGGTTACAGAGACATGGTCTCGAAGGCCAAATGACTAATGGGTGGATAACAGAGTTTGTAATGTTGCATTAAATGTCCTTTTTGTGTACTAGTTATGAAGTATGATAGAAATGTTTATTTGGATGTTGATGAACTGAGAGGTGTATAATGATGGTTAAAATAATGGTAAGTAGCCTTATGTAAAGGAAAAGTGATTAATGCAAATGTTTTAACTGTATTAATTGTCTTGGATGTTTAAAGTAATAATTTTGATTTGGTGACCATAGTAATAGAAAGAAAAATTGTATTATAAGGTATGTATAAAAATTGGTAAGTTATTGTTATATTTGCATGTAATTAGCAGTTTGTTTATGAGGGCAAACTGCTGGGTTTCCCCTCATAGAAAAAACTTATTAAGGGGGGAGGTATGTAGCGAACATTGGGACGTGGTGGCGCTGCGGGCTAAACCGCAGAAGCCTGTGCTGCAGGGTCAGAAGACCAAGCAGTTGTAAGATCGAATCCACGCGACGGAGTGAGCTCCCATCGCTTGTCCCAGCTCCCGCCAACCTAGCGGTTTGAAAGCATGCAAATGCAAGTAGATAAATAGGGACCACCTCGGCGGGAAGGTAACAGCATTCCGTGTCTAAGTCGCACTGGCCATGTGACCACGGAAGATTGTCTTCAGACAAACGCTGGCTCTATGGCTTGGAAACGGGGATGAGCACCACTCCCTAGAGTCGAACACGACTGGAAAAAAATTTTCAAGGGGAACCTTTACCTTTTTATGTAGCGAACACCCTATCTTCCTATATATATATAAAATGGTATTGACCTGCACCAATGGGAGCTGTTGGGAGGCGGAGCCAGAAAAACTAGAAGGGAGGGGTGAATCACAGTCTAGTTAGGTCAGTAAGAGACAGAGAGGAGAGAAAGTTTGAGGGTTTGAGGCAGAGAGAGAGTTTAAGGAGTGATTAGTCAGAGTGTGACCTGTATTAATTAAGAGAGGTTAAAGGAAAATACAGAACCTTTGTGTAACTTTAAGAATGTGCTTAAGAATTATTCCTGAAACAACTTGTAATCAATAAACCTGTTTCTGTTTAAAAGTTCAGTACTGAAAGGACCTCAGTCTTTCATAGAAAATATAGGTTGATAAAGAGATCAACTGGTGGCAGCGCATTAAAGGGCATGTTGGGCTACCTTCGTGAGCGCTGTGTTTGGTGAAACAAGCAGGGACCACGGGGTAAACGCCACAGTGGCAAATATGTAACAGGCAGAAAGCTAGTGTGAATGGGACAACTAGAGGATATGTGAGAGGTTGTGCCAGGCTGTGTTACTGGAAAAGGCTTATGGAAACAAAATTTGTGTGAGCATAGCTAACAGGAGTAAGGAAGCCATTTGTTTTGGTTCTGAAAGGAAGCAGGAAAGATGTTCCAGCTTTTTCCACTCTTAACAACTGGCCACAAGTTTCCAGAGGTGTTGGCCTCACCTTGGGAAATAGAATGCTCTGAAAGCTTAGGGCTTTTGCTTTCTTTCTTCCTTCCCTCGATAATACTCTTAATACCTTTAGAACTGCAGAGCTGGAAGAGACCCTGTGGATCATCATATCCAGCCCCTCTCAAGGAGGCCCAATGGGGAATCGAACTCCCAACCAGATACCTCACTCACTGAGTTATCCAGCCACCTCATCTAACAATACATAAAAAGATTGCCTTGGGACAAACATAACAGACTTTAGTAAATACTTCTCTGTAATTTCTGTGTTGTTTACAGTGACGTTCTGGACACCCTAGAGACAACCTTTGGAAAGCAAAGTGTGTATCAATGTAATTTACTTAAGACAATTGAAAGTACAAAGTGAAAAAAATAACATGGGAATATTCACTGCAAATTTTTCTGCTGCTGCTGTTTCTTAGTGTAAAAGATCCCAAAGTCAGGCTCCAAATGTGATCATTTTTTAACATTATATTATTTAACACATTATTATGCATTCTTCCTAGGATATGTTACATTAAACAGAATACTGTAATTCATTTGCAAGGCATACATGCATCCTGATGTATAACATTTTTTCTGAACTTCCCTCTTCATATCAATATAGTTAATTTCCTACTAAGTGCCTAAGATTGCATCTTTACTTAGAAGTTCTAGTGTCATGTTTATATGGGGAAAATCATAGCATCTGTATTTACAGTCTAATCCTTTGCATAGTTGATTAGAATTAGGTTCCATTGAGTTCAACCAGAGCTTCTATCAAGTAAAGACAACACTGCACTCTAGGCTGATAACCACAAGCACCAGATTAGACTATTAGAATATTCTATTAGAATTGGAGAAGTCTAAGTGTATATAGGATTGTTGGCTTAAAATGCAAACCTATTAAGCTGTAAACAAATCCAGTTGACTTTAATTGGATTTACCTGCAAAGTGAATGTGCTTAGTATTTAAGCTTTGCCAGCCAATCGGTGTCTGTCTAACTGAGATCAAGCACTTGTTAAATATACAAGAACAGACATAGTGTTTTTAATTTTTCTTTCTGGTTAGTTGACAACTTAACTGGACCATACACTGCATCCATAAAACATTGTGTGTATATTGAACAAGGTGATGGTGCATGCAGTTCACACATTTAATTGGAAGACTCTGAAACTAATGAATGAAACTTTTGACACAACTCAGAATGACACAAGACTTTCTGCTGTGTATGTTGCATATCAAAACAAATTTCAAAGAAGTATCTGGGTTAGTCTGTCTCAGTAGACTGGCAAAAAAGAAAAAAGGGAAAGGGCAAACAATTGTAGCATTTCAAAGGCTACCATATGAACGAGGGGGTACTGATAAGTATTGAGCCTTTCCCAGAAAAAATTGAGCTAGGAAGCTGTAACTGGCCACACTGTTTTACATATTCCCACAGGAAGTCAATGCACTTGTGACATCTGTCCTGCAGCTTCTTAAGTCCCTGCAAATAAAATTCTTCCAACTGCTGGTGTAACCGCTTATTTGCAGCATTAGTTGCCTCCAGAACACTCCCAAATCGTTGTCCCTTTAGGTGTTTTTTGAGTTTGGGGAACAGATAATAGTCAGGAGGAGCCAGGTCGGGAGAATAGGGACCATCTCCCAACCACCGGGGATATCATCCCGCTTCACCGTTATATACCCCAGCCCTCCTTCTTCCCTGTTTAACCCCTCCTCCTTTCTTCCCTCCAATTCTTCCTTATAAGGACCGGGTGCCATTAACCCCTTGAGTGCTTCCTCCAAGTCACTGGTATCCACTGCACATGACACCTTCCCTTCCGGTGGTGCTCCTCCTGACTCCTGTGCGACGGCCCCTTGATCTTTCTTACTACCAGGGGAGGCGGGAGGGCTAGTCTGGGTCATTTTGGAAGTCTTTAAGAGAGTCGGCTCTACTAGAAAGACCCGGAGCTTCTGGTCTTTCCCTTCACAGGGACAGCACTTGAATACCTAAGGATGACAGTTTTGCCATTGTTCCACCTGCAGTGTGTGACGAGGTGTTGTCATGCAACAGGATGACACCTTTGGAGAACTTTCCTCAATGTTTTTCCTTGATGTTTTGCCTCAACTTCGTCAATAAAGTACAGTAATATTTTGCATTGATGGTTGAACCCTGTTGGAGGTAGTCCACCAGCAGAACTCCCTTCTTATCCCAAAAAACTGTTGCCATTTCCTCCTCACCGACCTTTGCTCTCGGAACTTCTTTGGCCTGGGGGAACCACTGTGCCTCCATTCCTTACTGTTCCTTTGTCTCAGGATCATAATAGTACATCCATGTCTCATCACCATTTACCAGTTGACAACCTAATGTTTAACTGTTGCTTATGAAGGGCCAGACACCCATAGTTCAAACATTTCATCATGGATCTGCTTTGCACCTTTCCCGTGGAGAAACAGGAACTTAATTATGGTCCTATGCTCTTCCACACTGAACTTTTCTGGAGGTGCTGCCATGTTCACTTTGGAACTGAACATGAAAGATAAGTTAAAATCATAGTTAGTTGATTTTTGCACCATTGAATACAGACAAATTGCAATTTATAACTTTATAGCTCTTTTTTTTCCTGGGAAAGGCTCAATATTTATCAGCACCCCCTTGCATTTTATTTTAATGTGAGTTTTCAGGGATCAAAACCCACATCTTCATACACATGGAGTCATGGTCAAGTGAAAAAGGTGACAACAGATAAGGTGACAGTGTTTCCTTGAATTAAGATGTATTATTAATCTGCAGGGAAGATTGAGGCTGCAGGACATGGGCAGGTGATAAGCTGTATGCCAGGAAGGTTTGTCTGTCCCAAGAACTCTGCATTGTTTCTGGGGAAAAAACCAGAGTCTGTCCAGGGGGATAATGATTTTATAGTGCGTGCTGCTTGTATGCTGCTCCCATAGCACTTAAAGCACTATCTGGGTGGTTTACAGTTTAATTATCCAGGCTACACACAGCAAGACCCCCCCCCCCCCTCCGGCACC